TGTTGTTGCTGTTTCTGTGACTGTTGCTGCTGACGCAGAGGCCGTGAAAGAAGAGTATCACTCAGAGGCACTGGGATGCAAGCAGTCATCGCCGTGTCAGAGGGCCTTGATGGCGCAGAACTGCCTCCACTAGAGGCGCAACTGTTTGAGGAGTTCTGCTGCTCAGAGTCGCTGCGGAGGTAATCGTTGATAGAACGACAAAGGCTGCAGACGTGTGGGTCAACGAAGCGGAGCTCCATTTCTGGAGCTCTTCGCAGTGAAACCTAAGGGCGTCAAACAAGGACTACAATTAGAACTGCGTGGAGTCTAGTAGCATGCACTCACAAGGAAGGCGTAGGATTCTGTTTATGCACCAGTTAAACTAATACGCAAGCAAATTAAGACAAAGGACATGGGGCGTTTGCAATAGCAATCGATGACTTTGGTATTGGATGGCGTCATATAAATAACTTCATTTTGGTAAGGGACTGCCATAGTGTCTATGAAACCCCTGTTGGCTAGACGGTCGTACCTGCTCCAGAATTGTTCTGACCATGTGTCTTTGGAAACGATGCAACGCAAAAATCGCACTTGGGGTTTCGGAGAGCACTGAGATCCACTGATTGCAGTCCTCGCTGAAAAAGGTGTCCGCGTAGTAAGCGAAACCCTGGAAGAGATCCTCCTCAGCCGGCTCCTGAAAGACAAGAAAGGAAAGAATTACTGTCTCTACGCCTTTGATGTAAACCAGTGTTTTTTTTCATGGTAAAGGCGGAGGGGACAGATACCTGCAGACAGTACTTCAGCATATGCGCAGTATTGTCGAAGGCGTCATCAGCCGCCTCGGAGAGGATGCTCATGTCCGTAAAGAGGCTCTTTGCGCTATTCAGTACCGCAAGAGCCGTAGAAGCCGCCCTGGTGACTAGACAATTGGAAACTGGTCGCAGGACCGGTTCAAGCGCCTCCGGACTGCCGTTTTGATCCAGCACGGTCTGCGGCATCCGGGCCAGATCCGTAAGAATGTCATTGAGAGGTTCGTAAAATATGCGAATTATCATAGCCAGCTGGTCACCACTGGCATTCAAAAAGCACTGAAGATCCTTAAGGCAGCCCTCATAGGATCCGAGACGACGGTGAATGAACGGCAGTGAGGTCTTCACTCCGCCGCTAGGACCATCGGTTATGCCCAAGAGACTGATAATATGCTGAACAAGACACACACAAAAAAATCATTTTCAAGAAGGCACCCCGAAAATTGTAGGACATTTTGCAGAGGTACAGTGGTGCTTTCCTATGTATACCATCGTAAACCTGCTAGAACTGATACGAGGGAGATAAGGGGAGAGTGAGACGCTAAAGGGGAATTTCCTAACAAGCAATACACGAACGAACAGTTAGTATAAATTGCTCGAAATACCAATTTCGTCAGTTGACCGCAGATGTGCTCGCTGCGGTCTATCTCTGTACGTATAGCTAAGCTGCGGTCATTCACAGGTCTAAAGTTGTTTGAAAAGGGGAGGGGGGGCTTGCGTTTATGTACCTGTTCTTGATACGGCTGTGACCATGCCTGATCTAGCTGGCCTCAATGATGTCACGGACGGTACCCCTCCACACGTGACGATTGGCGGCAGCGGATCTCGAAGGCTCCAGCCACTCTCTTCCCCAGCGACGGAGAGAAGGTCTAAGAACTGTTCCCATGTCTTGACGGACGGTTTCGGGCCAAGTTTTACAGTTGCCCTCCTCTTCGACACCTCCAGGTGGGCTGCGGCACCGGATCGAGGGCAGCATAGCAAAGCTTGTTGAGTGGACGACGGAGAGTGTACCCAAACCACTGCAGTCGCACCTCTCTTTCGTGGCCTGAGATATCCTGGTGATACGATCGCAATGATTGCGGAATGTCTCATTCGATATACTCAACTCGTAGGATGGTCCTCGGGCAGCGGTGATCAGATACCTCCGGTTTTCGTTCATCTTCAGCGCGCAAAGCTCAGCATTCACACCCATAGAAGAGGACTGACCGGATAGATGCACTGCATACACAACTATTCGTGGCGATGGAGATGTCGCGCCGGATCCATAAAGGCGCTTTCGAAGGACTGAGAAAACCCAGCGAGCAGCATCGATGCAGGAGACAATGTCGTTCTTGCTCTGTCTATTCGGTAGCAGCCTCGACCCGATGTATTTAAAGCTGCAAGGGGTGCAGCTCGAGAATAGCCTTGTATTTTCGGTGCATATGGACATGCCAACCGACATAGCGATTGCGTTTACGTGCATATTTATGAGTCTCTACAAGTCAAAAATTCGTGCTACTGTCTGTGTTTTCACTCTGTCAATATATAACCAAATCATGCTCCTTCTAAATTACGTAGTGAGTTCAGAAATAGGGAATGTGGCTAATCCAGCTGATCTCGAGCGTTTAAGTGTCCTGCTATAAACAGTCTACTGAGCGTTGCACCACTAAGACGAAGTAAAATTCGTGGCTCGGAAGACTATCAACTGTGGGTGAAGCTGCAATGACGCTCGGTAAGCATGGTACTCGTGCTTGATCCGATTAGCTCCTGTTTTTGGATGAATCCGCTTCACGAATGGCACGGATAGCGGCGGCCATTAGCGGCGATCGGAAGCGAGCTCCTCGCAAATGTTAGCCCATCATTT